ATGGCAGCTAACAACCATCTGTAACTCCAGCTCCAGGGGATCTGATACCCTCTTCTGACATGGGTGCACTTACCTACGTGCAGGCAAAACACTCATGCATACACATAAAATAAATAAATTTTTTTTAAGTTTAAAAAAAGAAAGAGATGATCCTTTTGTGTGTAAAGATAGGTGACAGAAAGGTTGCCATTAAGTGTCTGTGATGAAATCCAGGTTCAATTTGTTTTCATGCAGGTTATCTCTGTGTGTCTACCTCTGCCTCTCCCTCTCTCTCCTAAAAGATTTTCTTCAAGCATTGTTTTTCCCAATTTCATTTTAGTGACCTGGATCTAAGTAAGTAGTATACTCTTGAAATATTTTGTAATGATCGAAGTGATACCTGCTTATTGTAGAAAATCTGAAAGATAAAGAAAAGAAGAAAATTTCAAATTACCCACATTTCCACCTCTAGGAGAAAAATGCTGTCAATGTTTTGCAGAAACTTGTATGTAGTCTTGAAGTTCTAACCCGAACTTCATGGAGAGAATCAGGGTTTCATCTTCAGTTTCATTAACTTAACATTCTTTTTATTACAAATGTAGACAACGTACAAGTAGTGTTAATAGTACTTGTGATTTTTATTACTGACATAAATCACAAATGTTTCATTTTAGCCAGCATGGTGGCGCTAGCCTTTAATCTCAGCACTCTGGAGGCAGTGGCAGGCAGATCTCTGTGAGACTGAGAACAGCCTGGTCCACATAGCAAGTTCCAGGCCAGCTAGGCTACAGGGAGACCCTTGTCTCAAAAAGACAAAAAAAAAATTACTAAAAAATGTTTTCATTTTATAATCATTCTTAGAGTTATTTCAAAATGCTGTCTCCAGTCACCACTACTTCAGTATTGGAATGATTGTTAAAGACAACAGTAGGGGCTGGAGGGATGGCTCAGCAGTTAACAGCACTGGCTGCTCTTGCAGAGGACCTGGATGTGGTTCCCAGCACCCACATGGCAGCCAACAACCCTCAGTAACTCCAGTTCCAGGGGATCCATTGCCCTCTTCCAGCTTCCGTGGGCATTGTATGACACAGATACACTTATATACATGCTTTCAAAACACTCATACATATAAAACAAATCAAAAAGGTCTCTAAATAAAAACAGAAAGACAAACACTAGATCTTGTTATTTAATGTCAATAGAGGGATATATTGCCAGGCATGGTGGCACATGCCTTTAGTCCCAGCACTTGGGAGGCAGAGGCAGAGGCAGATGAATCTCTGTGAGTTCGGGGCCAGCCTGGTCTACAGTAGAGAGTTCCAGGCCAGCTAGGGCTATAAGACTGAGAGAGAGAGAGAGAGAGAGAGAGAGAGAGAGAGAGAGAGAGAAATTCAGTTTGTTTTTAAATCTTGTGTACTACATTTATGTAGTTTAAGACACTGTGAGCAGTGGGCATGGTAATACATGTCTTTACTACCAGCACTCAGGAGGCAGAGCTAAGTGAATTTCTGTGAGTTCAAGGCCAGCCCGGTCTACATAATGAGACAACTCTCACCTGGCAGTGGTGCCAGCGCTTGGGAGGCAGAGGAAGGAGGATCTCTGTGAGTTCAAGGCCAGCCTGGTATACATAGAGAGTTCCAGGCCAGCTGGGGCTATAGAGAGACCCTGTCTCAAAAAGACAAACCGACAGACAGACAGACGACAGACAGGGAGATACAATATGGTAATACAAACTGCTTTGTTTGCTCAGATCACAGCATTAACTTTATTATGAAGCGTCAGTAGAAAGTAGTGCTGGTTACCTCGTTAGCGCTACAGAGGTGAAGTAACAAGTTCTCATGACCATGACCTTGTAAAAACAGCAAGGGGTGAATGTTTTTGTTCTCAGTGCCGGGCTTCAAAGCACTCTCAAGCTTCAGAGACTCAGTGGAAAGTGGAAAGTGCCCCTCATAGAGGAGCAGCATAGAGGGGCAGCTAGGAAAAAGAACTTGCATTTGGCACTTAGCAAGTTTCTTCAAGGAGAATTCATGTATTTCAGCAGTCATTCAAAGGTTTTCACAGCTTATGCCTTAGTGAATTCAGTTGTAGGTGGGGAAGTATGAAAAACATGTGTAGTCTATTTATAGTAGACTATAAAAGAAAAACACCTTACATCTGCAGCTAGAGGGTGGCTTGGTGGTTAAGAACGTGTTACTTTTGCAGTAGGACCCAGGTTGGGTTTCCAACACCCACATGATAGCTAACAACCATCCATAACTCCTGCTCCAGGGGATCTGAAGCCCTCTTTTGGCCTTCAGGCATGTGCATGGTGCATGTTACATACATGTAGGAAGAACACCCATACACAGATAATAAAAGTCTTTAAAAAAGGAGACAACGGCCTAAGTAACCTCTTTTTAAAAATTCATCATTTCAGTGGTTTAACACAAAAAATATTTGTTTTCTTTTTGGTTTTTTTGTTTGTTTGTTTTCTTGCTTAATTTGAGACAGGGTCCAGATTCCAATTCTAAATCCTCCTGTCTTTCTAATGCTGGGATTACAGGTGAGTACTTCCATACCCAGTTTATGATAAATGTTTATTGTCTGCCAGTAATCTTATTTCCGATGATGGGTAATTATTTCTACTGTTGAATTTAACAAATGAAATAAAATAATTCAATTGACTTTATACTTTATGACTTATACTGGATTCTTAAAATCCGTCTATGGAGCCCTTTTTAACATTTGCTTACACTTTCAGAGTTAGCCATTCTAAGAATACAGTAAGATGTCTCAGCAGGTAAAGGCACCTGCCTGACAACTTGAGTTTGATTCCTGGGACCCAATAATATACAAGTTTATCCACACATATACACAATTTACAAATACACAGACAAAAATAAATAAGTAAATGAAAATTCTAAAAGAATACTGTCTTATGCTATGGTTTTTATTCTATTTGATTTTGGTGGAGGACTTCCTGAAATAGGATCTCACTCTAGACCCCAAGCTGGCCTCAGCCTTCTCTGCTTTAGCCTCTGGAGTGCTAAGAGGCACCATGCCTGACTTCTATTTAACTTTTTACGGTACAATTTTTCTTTTTTTGTCTTTTTTTTCTGAGACAGGGTTTCTCTGCTGTAGCCACAGCTAGCCTGGATTTGCTATGGAGACCAGGCTAGCCTCGAACTCACAGAGATCCACCTGCCTCTGTCTCCCAAGTACTGGGATCAAAGGCGTGTGCCACCACGCCCAGCTTTATGGTACAATATTGACTGCTGCAACTATGTTAACCAAGG